CGACCCCCGGAAAAAAAAAAAAAAAAAAAAGAGAGAGAGAGGGGAGCTGGGATGTACCTTAGTGGTAGAGCTTTTGCCTACATAGGCAAGGCCCTGGTTTCTATCTCCAGCACTGCAAAAAAAGTGTAACGTTTATGACAACAGCAGGTGCCTTCTAGCCTCAGTCCTCTCTGCTCCCTCATGATAACTACAGCTTTTAAAAATTATTATTAATTAAATTATTTGTAAAGTACTGGGGGATTGAACCCAGGGACACTATACCCCTGAGCCACACCCCCCACCCTGTTGATTGATTTTGATTTTTTTTTTCTGGTACTAGCAATCAGACACAGGACCTCACTGTCCTTGTGGCAGACTCGGTGCTACTGAGCTAAGTCACCAGCCTTGATTGATTATTTTTTTAAGACACGGCCTCCCTAAATTAGTGGCCCAGGCTGGCTCAACTTGCTTCAGCTGCCCAGAATGCTGGGGTTACAGGTGTGGGCCACCAATGCCAGATTTTTTTGAGACAGGGTCTCACTGTGTAGTCTAGCCTGGCCTCAAACTTGGGGTGATCGTCCTGCCTCAGCCTCCCAAGTGCTGGGATTACAGGTGTGTGCCACCACACCATGCGCGAATTTGTGTTGTTTCTTCTGCAGGGCTGGGATGGAATCCAGCCTGTGTAACTTAGTAAGACCTGTCTCAAACTATAAATGAATAAATGAATGCAAAAAGGGAGATGCTTCCTCGTCTTTGCCGTTAGAAAGCCTGGGGACCTGGGGTTCTGGTGGTTGTTTTGCTGTTCTTAGGCAGTGGTTCCCGACTGACAGCAATTTTTACCTCCAAAGACACTGGTCAAAGTTGGTTGTTACAGCTGGAGTGCGGGTGTTGCTACTGGCATCTAGCAGGTGGGGGCTGGAGGTGCTGCTGAAGGTGCTACAACACACAGAATGGGCCCCTCCACAGGAATGGGTTCACCCCAGGGGTGGCGCACACCTGTGATCTCGGCACTGGGAGGCTGAGGCAGGAGGATCAAGGTGAGTTAGAGGCCAGTCTGAGCTACACAGTGAGTCCAAAACCAGTCTGGGCTACGTAATAAGACCTTGTCTCAAAACAAACAAACAAAAAACCTACAGTATTCTCAGAGACTGGCTTGTTGAAGAGGCTTGGCCAGACGTCTGGTGTTTCATGACACCTTCCAAATATCCCCGGACTCTGGATGTCATTTAACCTGTCGCCACCACCCATTTCCTGAGCCAGGGTGTCAGGCCGACTGACCCTGGTTCATAGATGAGCCAACCTACAGACACACCTAAGGGAGCTAGGGCTTCCTCTGTGAGGTTCACCCATCCCTGTACTGCAGTGGGGCCTCCGCAGTGAATGCTGCTGACCCTGTTAAATCTGCAACCTGCCAGGTGTGGTGGCACAAGCTTGTAATCCCAGCACTCGGGAGGCTGAGGCAGGAGGATCACTGTGAGTTCGAGACCAGCCTGGGCTACATAGTGAGTTCCAGGTCGGTCTCAACTACATAGACCCTGTCTAAAAAAAAAAAAAAAAAAAAGAATTCTGTATCCTGACACCTGAGCCCTTGGGGAGCTCATGCCTGTTGCTCGGAGCCAATCTTTCCTCATCATCCCTGTTGCTTTACTCCTTAGGTTACAGTGCCACAGATGAGCGCTGTTTAAATATAATGATTTCATTGTATTTTGCAAAGTGGCAATTTTTTTTTTTTTTTTTGAGACAGGGTCTCACTTTGTAGCCCAGGCTGACCGCAAACTCACAGCAATCCTCCTGCCTCAGCCTCCTGAGTGCTAGGATTACAGGCATCCTTCCACATTACTCTTTTGGCATTCTCCTTGGGCTGTCTAGAGAAAGCAAAACCATGCTTAAACCCTTATTTTTCTCCCCTATCTCTCTTCCATTTCTTTCCTTCCTTCTTTTCTGATGCTGGGGAGGGAACCCAAGGCCTCATACATTCTAGACGAGAGTTCTACCATTGAACTGCCACCTCAGCCCTAAATCCCTACCTTTAATTACCAGTGTTTCACTGAGCATGGTGGCACATGCCTGTAAATCTTGGGAGGCTGAAGCAGGAGGATCACCAGAAGTTCGAGGCCACCAGGGCTGCATAGTGAGTTCAAGGCCAGCCTGAACTACACAGCAAGACACTGTCTCAGAAAAACAAAATAATAATAATAATAATAACACCAATATTTCCAGGAAAGAATTGGCCAAGAGCTACTTCTGATGGTATAATAAATGCATGTGGACTTGTTTTTGTATTTTGTCATTTTATTGGGAATATTTCCAAATGGGCTACGAAGAAAAATTATTGAGTTTGATGAGTTTTCCAAAAACTCAAGGAAGATATGTCCATTAATAAACAATAAAACATCAGCAGAACCATATACTGGGCAAAGAGTCGGGCTGGCACCCAAAGCAACATGCAACATAGAACAGATAACATAAAGGAAGACAATCTGCTGAGTAGTAAAAAGCCGCCTCAATACGAATTCTCTACAACCCACACAGAACCCACTATCAACTCCAAACCCCACCAAGGTAAGTTGGACTGACGGAAGCCAGGAGTTGATAATGGGGAGAAGAAACAGGTCCCTCGGGGACAGGGATTTAGCTCAATGGCACGGTGCCTGCCTCACAAACCCTGAGTTCAAGCCCCGGTACCAAAAAGAAAAGAAAAGAAAAGAAATAGGTTCCTCAGTGCAAGAGAGCTGAACAGTGTTCTTAAGCACGTCCCTGGCTGTTACAACGAGTGTGAGAAAATCTTCTTGGCATGGGATAGAAATAAATACAAATGGAATGCTACATTTTTCAATAGCAGACTGTCCCAGGAATGATAAAGGAATCAGAAAAGTAGCAAGGGGATAACTTTAAAATATTATTTGTTGTGGGCTCAAAAAACATTGAAAAGGATTTAAAGGTGACATATTAGCTATGTCCCAGCACCTAGGCTTAAAAGAAGCAAAACTGAGAGGATACTTTTGCCCCAAGGAAAGTTTCTTTAAAACCAAGTATATTGCTAAATGGCAACATTGTACTTGGTAAACAATAACTGGCACCAGGCGTGGTGGGGCAAGCCTGTAATCCCAGCACTCGGGAGGCTGAGGCAGGAAGATCACTGTGAATTCGAGACCAGCCTGGGCTACATAGTGAGTTCCAGGGCAGTCTCATCTACATAGTGAGACCCTGTCTCACAAAACCAAAAAAAAAATAATAATAATAATAATAATAATAACTGGCAAGAAAATAGCTTAAGCGCTGTAATATTCTGCCCAAACCAGTTCCAGATACTGTTTAATAACCAAAATGCAAACTAATTTTGTTGTAACAAGCCTAGACCAATTCTATCAAATGTGTCTACAGTTAGATATCCAGTTTCACGTAACATTTTGAAAGGTCATTTGACAGTCCAGACCTTCTCCTTGTGTGGCACAAGTGGCTTGAACATACCACGTTCTGTTACCAAGAGAATGAAGACCCAGTTTAACTGTCATATTCACTGATGGCCATAGCTTTTAGCAAATCCCGTTTGTTCCCAAAAAGCAGAAACACCACACCCTACAGCTCATCTTCCTGAAGCCTATCTGCAGTACGTTCCAGTGCCCCAAGTGTGACCCTCTATGGTAGCCCTGTCTTCCTGGAAATGCCAGCCCTGGCTAGCACCCCCAAGGACCAATAGCACCGCAAGCTGGCAGCCCTTGCGGCTTTTTCCAAGTAGCTGAGACTACCCAGGAGTACAGGAAGAGACTGCTCATGGTCCCAAGACCAGCCAGCCATGGGTCCTCACTGTGTGGGGGCTGGAGGAGACCTCAAAGCCCTATTTTCACCTTCCACTCAGTCCCCATTTCAGAAATCCCTGAGCCCCAAGGAGCGCATGACTAGCCCCACAGAGAATTCCTTCCATCCAAAGGATTCCTAATAAAGATGAGTGTACTCGTCAAACTTGAGATCCTCCAGCCTCAGCCTCCTGAGTAGCTATTATAGACCTGCACCCTACATCTAGCAGGATTTATTTACTGATTATGCCACTCTTTGCTTATTGTTTTTCTCCTACTAGAACAAAAAGTCAAGGGACTTGTCTGTTTTTCTCACATTCACAACCCAGTGTCTTCTATCAAGGAAGTGTAATGTTGGTTGACCTAGGAAATGGAAGCTCAAAGAGCTGGAGCCACTTTCTTGATATCACATAACAGAGCTGGAATTAGAGACGCCAAACTGAGCTCTTTAAAAAAACTTTTTTTTTTTTTTTTTTTTTGAGACAAGGGTCTTGTTATGCAGCCTAGGCTGGCCTTGAACTCATGGTGATCCTCCTGCCTCAGCCGCCTGAGTGCTGGTGCTACTGGTGTGTGCCACCATGTGCTAAGGGTACAAAATATCAGAAGATACTAAAAATACCTGATGATCAACACATTTCATCAGAGAATGTGGTGTAGTTAAGTGGTAGAACATATGTATGAGGTTCAATCTCCAGCAACAACAAAAAGATTTAAAAATATATATTTATTATTTTTGGTTAGGGGGATTGAACTTGTGATCTTATGCATGCTTGACAAATGCTCTTTATTATTATTGTTGTTGTTATTTGCCACAAGGTCTCACTCTGTAGTTCAGGCTGGCTTTGAACTCACTGTGTAGCCCAGGCTGGCCTCGAACTCATAGTGATACTTCTGCCTCGGCCTTTCGAGTGCTGCGATTACAGGTATTTTGAGATAGGGTCTTTCCAGGTTGCCCTGGCTGCCCTCAGACTTTTGATCATTTTGCCTCAGGCTTCCAAGGAGCTGAGACTACCAGGAGTACAGGAAGACATCTGGACTAAAAATGTATACTTTAAAAAATAAACTTCAAACCAGGCTTGGTGGCTCATGCCTGTAATCCCAGCGTTCTGGGAGGCTGAGCCAGCAGGACAAATTCAAACTCATCCTAGGGCCGAAAATTTAGTTTACTTCGGGTGCCTAGCAAGCACAAGGTCCTGAGCTTGATTTTCGTATCAAAAACAAAAAACCAAAAACCCATCCTCTGTTAGTAAGTCTCTGTCTCAAAATAAAATATAGAAAAAGGCTGGGAATATAGCTTGGTGCAAAGACCCTGGGTTCAATCCCCGGTATACACAGAAGCAAATAAAAAAAAAAAAAAAAAAAAAAAAAAAAAAAAAAGTGAGATTTTGAGGTATACAAGCTATAAAATACACACATAGTATAGTAGTTACTATAGAGGAGCTAATTAACATATTCGTCATCTCACATAGTTACTCATCTTTCCCTGAGGTAAGAGCAACTATAATCTACTCATTTAGAAAAATCATGAATTAAAAAAAAATTTTTTTTAAGGAAAAGAACAAAGAAGCTCTGACCTGCGCTGGCCTGACTCACCGTGCCCTACTCCCAGGGCTGCATGATCCTGTCTTTATTAACACTTGATATTTTGTTCATGACTTATTTTTTTTCTCATTAATTCTGACATTTTGAAGATACTTCATTAGAACATTTATATTGAAGAGTGTGCACTCAAGAAGCTCATCCGAGTCTGCGCTCAACCTGTCTCACTTCTTCCCCCGCTGAGTGCGGGCGGTCCGCTGGGGAAACTGAGAGAGCCAAGCGCTGACCTTTGCTTATCGTCTCAGAGGCAGCAGTGACCGCGTCCCAGTCTTTCAGGCAGAGCAGCGGCGGCGCGCGGAAACAGGTGACCTTCCCGGCCCGACTGTGGGAAAAGGCCGGGGATCGAACCCAACTCACCTCTCCCTCCTAGGCCGCTGGGTGGTGGGAAGCATGCCTATGACGTCATCGAACAAGGCCCCGCCAGCTACTGACGTCACAGAGGAACCTGCGTCTCCGCATTCCTCCAGTGACGTCAGTGCAAGAGGCCCCCACCGAGGGAGGGAGAAGTTAGTAGCTCTCTCCTTTCTCGCCTTTTTATTTGGTAAGCCATTTAAAATACATGGGAGTAGACTACAATTCCCATTAGGCTTTGCATGCAGCGCACGCGCAAGAACTACAGCCAGAGAGCGCGACAAATCTTTGGGTTAGATTGACATCTTTTTAGTCGAACTAACAGGCGGTTTTACAGCCGTAAACCAATCCCTCACACAGAGATCCCACCCCTTTATTATTATAATGCCCGCTGCTTCCTTGCGAGACCGATGGGCTCTGCTACCATAGAGTCCAGTTTCGTTTGATGGACATTCCTATTGATAAATCAGAGCACCGGGAAATCAAGAGGGTGTTGAAAAGCGTGCGTAGCGACCAATAGTATAACGGAAGGGCTTGGCGTCGCCCAATTAACTCTCCCAGCACCGCCAATCACCCAGGGCTCCGCCCCCTTCGCGTGACGTAGTAGGGTGGGTAGCAACAGTTGCCCCGGTGAGGGAAACGGAGGCGCCATAGCCACGGTAGTCGTGGCGACCAAGCAACCCGGCAACGCGAGTCAACAACAACAACTGGCCGACCGACCCCCACCCCCACCCCCCCATCTTGGCCTGGGGACCCTGGCACGCTCCGTCCCCCTCCCCACATCGCCACTGAGGCCTCCGAAAAGCCGTTCCGCGGACAGAAGCGGGTAGAAGCCGAGGTAACCAAGGCAGCCCGGGCGGCTGACGGGACCAAGCCAGGCAGTAGGGTCCGGGCGGCGGGCGTTGCTGTAATCCCAGTCCAGGGGGAGGGGGCGAGCGGTCAAAATGGCGGCGGCGACTGTCGGGACAGTGGGGGAGGGGGCCGAGGCCCGGCGGGGCGACACCACCCGCCCCCCCACCCCCACGGTCCGTCCCCTGCAAGGGGCGGGCGCTGGCTGGCGGGCGGCGAGTGGAGGTCCGCCGGCCCTGGTGGGGGGCTTTTATATGTCGGGAAGTGCGAAGGGGCGGGCTTGGGGAGGATGGGCCAATGGGAGCAAGAGGGCTAGTGGGCGGGACCAAGTCGGTGGGCGGGACATCACCCCGCCCCACCCCCGCGCGCCCTCGGGAACCGGGTGGGGCAGCCGCCACCTGGCTTTCCGGTCCCCGTTGCAGTAGGAGGCTTCCTGTGCGGCGCATCCTTACAGAGACCTGTAGTTGTCCCCATGATTCGTCGCGTGGACCAATGCCTACCACGTTGGAGGCCTCAGTTTTCCACTCTGTAAAATGGGGAGAATCGTTGCTCTCTCTCCCCTTTTCTGCGTTTCTGGGACTTCTGATTTGGTCCAGGAATTTCGCTAGGGCTCCCTTCCTTACCTACTGCCTCGGAATGTGGTTTGATAAGATTAAGTCTTAGCCCTGCCCTCCATTGCTACACCTGTCTTCTCTGGGAGGAGACGAAAGGGCCGACCAAGTTTCACGGGAAACTGGGGTAGCAGCTGACGAGCCTTTCTCTGGCCTGGGGGAATTAGTTTGCAGAAATGGAAGCCCATGGCAGGGAGGGTTAGGGGACAGATTTAGAGGAATTGAAACTGGATTGCTTCTCTCTGTGCGGCAGTTTTTATCCGGGTGTGGTCCCTGGGGCTGGTTCTTCCACCGCTGCTTCTACTACGGGGCTTTTCCTAGCTGTCCTGCCCGGGAAGGCCTCCCCTTTGGGAGGCAATGGCCCCGGAGCAAGTTTCATAGATTCCTTGGCCAGACCCATGTTTTTGTGTCAGGTTTCGTATCAACAGGGTCACATGTGAGGAGGTACCAGGCTTCGGAGCCACGTGGCTGAACCCGGTGTCACCCTCGGGAAGGGGAAGCTGGCCACGTTTGTCAGCAGAGAATTTTTGCAACTGCTTTTTGGGCCCACAAGTTCTGTGAGCTTAGAGAACTTTTAAAAAATGTTTGAAATCATCTTAACTTTTTTGGGAAGCATTTTAGATACACATAATGGTAACATTTGTACCTGTACATGATATATCTTGCTTCCTTTTTCCCCTATTACTCCTACTCCCTTCAACTCCACTTCCCTTCCTTACTTACAAAAGCTTTGTTTCCACCGTTTCCTTCTATTCTCTCTCTCTTTTTTTTGGTATGGGGATCCAACTCGGTTCAGAACCACTGAGCTAAATCCCCGGCCCTCTCTTCTTTTTGTCCCCTCTTTCCGTTCCCCCTCTCCCCTCCCTTGTTCCCCTCCTCATTGGAATGTTTTCTGGGGAAGTCTTTTGTTGTTGTTTTTAAGCTACCAGCCAGGGCAAGTCGGCTTTGCTTGCTTTGGCTGCTTTTGAACTTGACATCCATGTACAAACTGCAGCTCATCTCTTTTAAATCAGTTAACAAACTCTCAGGAAAAGGATCGGTTCATGCTTTCCCCGCAAGAATTTGAGATCAGGCTGGTGGATGGCTGGGATCTCACCACGCAGCAGGCCCTCTTAGAAAAGGGAAGTCAGGATTCCTTCATAGTTAAAGCAGGTGGATATTCAGTTTCAGTAAGAATCTATAAAACCAAATTACACCAGGCGTGGTGGCCCATGCCTGTAATCTCAACACTCAGGAGGCTGAGATAGGAGGATCGCGATCGCTGTGAGTTAGAGGCCAGAGTGGGCTACACGGTGAGTTTAAGACCAGCCTGGACCACATAGGGAGACCCTCAAAAAACTAAAGAGCAAAACAACAACCCAAAACAAAAATCAAGTTGCTAAGAAAGATCCTCAGCTCTTACCAGGCAAGCCAGCTATGAACTGAAAGCGATGGAAGTACTCTCTGGTCTTGGTGACTGTCTCAGCCTCCACACCCCACCAGTAATCTTTACAGGGGAAGGGCCCAAGCCCACTGACCGGGGCAGGGTCTCTGGCTTAGTTTACTGTTCTTGAGTAACCAGTTGCTTTCTAGCTGTGTGCTGTTGGGCAACTTAATTAATTTCTCTGGACCTGGCTGGTACCCTCTAGACTAGGTGCCGGAATCATTTTTGTCTCATATTACTGTGCTGTGGATCCCATAAAATAATGCGCAGGGAACATCAAACACAGTCATTGCTCAAACCATTTTAGCCTCTGTTGTCATTATAATGCTTGTCACTTCCTGCCCAGCCCTCAGAATTAACCGTTTGTCTTTATTTTTATGGTTTTGAATTGAGGGGGAGCCTTGTGGCTTTAAAGATTGCTGTGCTTGCTAGGCTTCAGGGTTGTTGACAAGGATCCAGGAAGCTGGATACTGGGACTCCAATTTCTCTCTCTCTCTCTCTCTCTCTCTCTCTGCATTTGTTGTTTGAGACAAGGTCTCACTATGTAGTGCAGACTGCCCTTGAACTCAGTATGTAGCCTACCCTGGCCTCAAGCTCACAGTGATCCTCCTGTCTCAGCCTGTGGGCCACCACGGTGAGGGGGACTCCAGCCTCTGGGGTCCGGACAGCATCAACTCCTCTCGACGCTGGCTGACCTTGCTCTGGCTTTGGGCAGGGAACCAGAAAGAAGAATCTTCCTTGGGTCTCCAGATGGACTTAAACTCAGCCGGTGTTTCCCAGAAGGTGCGCTCTGTGGGAAACATCAGCCATAAAAGGGGGTCTCTGCAGGCAAGGTTCTTCCCTTTCTCTGTCATGTACCCAATGTGGGGCTGAGAATTGCTGGCCAGACTCAGGACAACAGCCTTAGCAAAGCAGCTGTGTATTATCTCAGCATTCGGGAAGCTGAGGCAGGAAGGTCACTGTGAGCTGGAGACCAGCTTGGGCTACATAGCGAATTCAAAGACAGCCTGAAGTCAATAGCAAGACTTTTTTCAAAAAAAAAAAAAAAAACAAAACAAAAGGAAAGAGAGCAGGTGTACAGTCTTTCTGGTCTAGTGAGGTTCCTTCACCTGGCACCCAAGGTCATGGCATGCCAGGTCGTGTCCTTCACCCTATAGCACATGCCTGCTGTAGCTGGAGTCAGTAACTTTCTCACAGTATCATCAAGCTGCCCTTTTGACACCCACCAGCCCCATGTTCCCCACCAGTGTGTCTGTACACATTGGGCTTAAATAAGATTTGAATCACCAGGGGTGGAGGGGGCTCAGTGGTGAGTGCTCACCCAGCAGTGCAAGGTCCCAGGTTCTATCCCCAGCACTGGAAAAAAAACAAAAAAAAGAGTGGCATCCCCAGTGTGTGCCTGGCAGTGTTGCATGGGCTGGGGTGGAAGACAGGCATGGCAGGCCAGGTCTCTGTCCTTGCAAAGCTTATTTTTCTGGTTGGAGAGGGAAGAGCAGGTGTGAATAAGAGAATAAACAGGGAAATACATTGCCAAGAAAAAAATCAAACCAGACTATGTGCCTGGCAGATAGGCAGGGTGCGTGAGACCAGGACACAACTTGCCAGCTGAGACCTGAGTGGTAAGAAGGAGCCAGCAGAGCAAGTTGGGCTGGCAGGCAAGAAGAAGCTAAGGTGCAAAGGCCCTGAGGCAGGAGGGGCCGGGGACATCTTGGGCCAAGTGCTGGGATACCTGGAGTGTGGAGGGTAGAAACAGGCAGGCCTTGGCCTGCAGGCCTTTGGATCATGAGGAGGATGCTGGGTTTTCTTTACTCTCTGTGGTAGGAGCTCTGGTGGCTCTGGGCCGAGCTATGACACCACAACAGGAGTTCTTTTTAAAGGGCCTTGTGGTTGGTAGGCATGAGCAGGGACTGGAGCTTCAGGAGTGAAGGCCTCTCCAACAGCACTGTGGACAGATGCAGAGAGAGGTACCCAGCCACAGGGTTATATTTTGGAGGAATGATCAATGAATCTTATGAACTAATTAGAAACAGAACAAGGGAAGCATATGTCTTTGCATTTAAGTTTAGTGAACCCATTCTACAGATGAGAGTGAGTTTTTTTCCATTTCCCTAGGATGCCCTGACCACGATGTGAACCTTTTGGTTATAGAACCTGGCATCTATAACAGGTCAGCTAAGTACAGCCCCTTGCCTGTTTTTGTATAGCTCTGACGTAAAAGTGATTTTTATATTTATAAATGATTGGAAACCTGGGCATGGTAGTGCACGTCCAACATCCCAGGACTTGGGAGGCTGAGGCAGGACAATCTCTGCAAGATTGAGGACAGCCTGGGCTACATAATAGGTTCAAGGCCAGCCTGGATTACATAGTGAGACTATCTGAAAAA